CAATGTGTGTGTGTGTGTGTGTGTGTGTGTGTGTGTGTGTGTGTGTGTGTGTGTGTGTGATAGTCTGCATAACATGTCAACTCGAAAACAGTGAAACAAAATAGACTGGTTTGGGAATGGGATGGGGTGGGCTGGGGGAAGGCGCACTGTGAAATAAGTTACAAAACATAGATGCTTTCCTATCAATCCGACGGTGGCTGATAAAGTCGGATTGTACAAGAGGTAGTGGGCACGGGCAGCAAAAATTGGCTGAGTACAGTTTGCGGTTATTTCAGACTCTTCTGACAGGAAAGTCAATCAATTGGTACAATGTGTTGCATACTTTTAGAATATCTAATTCCGGAGCACGCCAGTTGTTTAATCTTTCAGATAGTATTTGGTACGATCCGGATCCCAGGCTTGTTCCAAATCCTCGCTCAGTTGGCCCTCTCGAAGAACAGTGATCGGCACAAGTGGGTGAGTGGTATGTTGCAAATAGTTCTGAAATACGAAGAAACAGGAAAGGATACAGAAACAGGATACAAGGGAGAATAGTTACTGGGACACTGGGTGCCCTATGTTTCTGGTTTCGTGCGCATTTGTGCATGTGTTCAGTTCTGGAAGATGGCGACAATGTGGAAAACTTCAACGACGTGGTGGTGGTGGTGGTGATGATGGTGGTGGAGTGGAGAAACATGATTAATTCATTGGTAAACGTAACCACTGGATACAGAGTAAGAGCTCATAATGAACTAACGTGTGATGCACATGAAATAGTGGTAAGGAGCACTTTACCATGTAATCTACTATTGGCAGCTACTCTGGAGAATTAGACTGTTATTACCTGGCTAATCAATGAAATGCTAATTGTTCGCTATTGCACTTAGATAATGGTGGTGATTCTGGCCTACGGGATAACATAAATCACCGAGCGACGAGTTACGGTTTCTGGACAACTGTGATGGGTCAACCTTCCTCGCAAAGTGCTCAAGCGCGATTCGTGCCCGACCAATCAGAAGTTGTGCTGTTCAGACATAAGCTGTAGGACGTCAAGAATACGAGCATGCGATTGGCGGATACCTGGATAACCAATAAACTTCTTTTGTACATTTTATTTAATCCCCCTGATTTGCTCCAATAAACGAAGTGCTACTTCTGTGACCTTTTCCTTGTGTCTCGGTTAAGTGAGATACCAGCGTGCAAGTGTCGGTGTGATTCAATGTTTCCGTGGCTTCCGTGATTTTTGATGATTAATTCCTGATCTGTGCCTACTCCAACCATTACAATGATGCTCTCCATAGTAGCACACGGTACTTACATGGGCATAGGACATAGCGTTTTGTTTCTCAGTCATGGAACATTTTTCACCAATGTAGACGAACAACTGTGAACCGGTATCGATGAAATAAACATCGTCCCCACGTAACAGTCGTTTCGGTGCGCTGTTGGTCGCGATCAGCTCGAATTTCAGTTCACCAGATTCGTCGCTCAATCTGAAAACAAATAAGAAATTGAGAATCGTAAATTGGGTACAGACAGATGCGCGGACGCTATCCACACGTTCCGGGTGAAATTGCACTACATTCATTTGACTGACACACCCACACGGGATGAGAGTGGGTGTGGGGGGAGATAGAAAACTCACCTATACACACACTTTGTGCTGTCCAAATATTTCTGTGATCGTTTGATCGGAACATTGGGCAGTACTCGTAGGAACACGTCCTGATTATATGGAATTTAAAAAAAAAAACATTAAGGAAGGGTGGGGTTGAATGAAATTCAGAACACAGCGTGGCAACCATTTGAGTGGTTAGGGATATATGCCGTTGCTAGTTGCTAGACAAAAATGTGAGAACTATCAATCAGATCAAATCAATGTGGGATGAATAACTCGGTCAATCATCATTGAAATTATTGAAATAACATGATCTAAGGCTAAATATTTTCTGTGCTGCAGGAGCAGTCGATTTAAACTGGAAAGACAACTTCGTCCACATGAGGATGTGTAACGATTAGTGAAACAAGTTGCCACCGAATTCGGAATAGACTTTAAGCAAACCGGTCGAGTTAGTTCAGTCATCTGGCAGTTATGTGATAAATAATCATACCCTCGAGACTTAACTACACCGGCTAATGGGCACTGCCTAATGAAATAGATGCAAAGGGACTACCCCGCTGCTTTTCCGTGAATCATTTTCTCACCTTAAACTTACCCATCACAGAGCGATGGCTTTCAGCATCTTTGATAAAGTCACAAAAACTTACATGGTCTTCCACGTTGTCTTCATCTAACACCGTGCCTTTGCATTTACCCAATCGTTCGTGTTCCAATTCAGCCATGAATTGTGCTGCCTGCAATAATGACAAACGCAAGAAAAAACAGATTAACAAACACGGTCTTCCAATCCGGAGCTTGTGTCCACGTGATGGATATATTCAAATCACAAACGTACCGCATAACGTTCTTCTTTGTTCGAATTACGTCCGTTCCATTGGTAGGCCGACGAGCCCAAATCCAGAATGAACACATCGCCCGAGTTGAGTGAGTTCGCGGACAGTTCAACTTCTTGCATAACAACCAATTTACGATCTTGCAGACAGAAATGAAGCAAACGGGGCTGGTATTCGTTCGGTGTCACGTGACGGAACCCGCTCTCAATTCCACCGTTGAGGATACTGAATAAAATGAGTAGAATGAGGAAGAAAATGTTTGTTTATTTTTCTCCAGATTCCTTAGTAATGATTCTGAACAAGTCAGAACGGCAAAAGCAAACTCGATGTTAATTTTACTGATTTTCACATGATTTGCTCACCGCAGATTGGGGAAATATGATTTGAAGAGGTTCGACTCGTGACCTTCAACTTCCCGATGTTGCACACAGATTCCGTCCAACAAGGTATCCAATTCCACTGTTTTGTAAGCTGCCGTACCATACTCATCCTAAAACGTGGAGGAGCGAAATCCAGAGAATTAATTTGCAGATGAAGCAATTCTCTTCCTTCCACCCGTTCCACACTCAACCAAATTAAAATCATTTCAGTAGTATACTCACCTGAGTGCTCTTCTGACCAATCCAAAAGTGTACGTCATAGTTTAACTTTTTGTTCTTCTCGTACACATTTAACACAATGTAACTGTCGCCATTGAAAAATTGACCGTAGTCATTTGGATTCACTGGTTTGACGCGGAAATTCTGTAATCAGACAAAAATCAGCCGGGATGGAGGGAGAGAGGGAGTTAAATGTTTTATTGCGGTGATTTTACCCAATATTGCTATGCTGCTATGCGTGTCAAGTTTGTTCTTCTGCTTCGTTCTTATTGACTATCTCATTATCACATCGAATCCGAATCAACTTTACGATCTCTGAGAGTTTTGTCTGATGGGCAAAATATTTTAGCTGATTGAATGATGCTTTCGCCTGTACGCAACCATAGTATGCTTTTACGTTAGCAGAATGTGTCTCACATTCGTACCACAAATTGTTCATCAGTCGTCCCCTCGTAACGATTTTCCATTGGTCCCTCTTGTGTTATCAGCTGTTTAGGCCAGAACAAGAAAGACTGTCCACATTCACATCCATTTTGTCAATTTGATCTTCCATGGGACGCCAAAATCACACATGATAACATGCATACAGTACCAATGGGACCAGTTTTCCATAGGTTTATCTGTCTACCACCATTGGTACTCTGTTTGCAAAGTGCTTCCTGAAAGCTTGATCGGGATTGGTTGAATATCTTTTGAAACAGTTAATAAAACCTGCGGTTGATAACCTCGTCGACTGGATTTGTCCCCCCCC